CATCTTTGTATATATTACATCTTATTTTCCCACAACCTATCCCACTAAGTAAACTCTGTTTTTCTAGTTCCCATAGAAGTGAGAAATGAAACCACTGCATCCACGTAGATTAAGTACAGGACTAACAACTAGAGCTGCCTACATACACATGACTACTATTTGTGCCAAGAAATTCTTCCCAAAAAGATAAGGACCAAAATAAGTTAAATAAGTTCATTGTTTCTTCAAGAACTTTCTAAAAAATCATTTACTCCAACAATAGACTACTGAAACAATGCCCCTTTCAGGATATTCCTTCCATTCGGCAAACAACTCACTTATTAAAATACATATTCACAAGATTTGATAAAGATCACGGGCTAATCCAAAAATTATTATACCATGAACCTTGCCCATATTCAATAAGATTATTGTTTATAGCCCTTGTCTATATTACTGTGGAACAGCGGTCTTTCCACTTTTAACTTGTTGAACATTATGGTTAGTAGTGCATTAAAGCTGTGATTATAAAGCAAATTGAAATTGTTATTGTAAAAATTAAAGGAAAAAAAGGAAGGAAGGAGAGGGATTGAGGGAGAGAGGGAAGTACGGCTATCTTTGTAGAATTGTATGTACGAAATATATGAAATCTATTCTCTTCATATTAACAAAAATTTTAAAAAAGATCCACCTTAAACACTTCAAGATTACACCCCAAATTCTACAATATTCACCCATACCCTCTCTTATGTAGAGCTTAAGAAGATTCCATCAAGATTTGGTTCTTTCTAACTGTACAAAGTAAGCAATAAAATTAGTTTTGCTGCATCAACAGGCTTCTTTGAAGTTGGCATTCAACAGAAGAGAAAATCCTATTCCATTTCAGTTGTGCTCTTATCATCAAGTCCGTTCTAAATTTTTTTTCTTTCATGCTTACATTAAGCCACAGGTTAAATATTCTAGAAGATTTTTATGATTATAGAAAAAGGTAAATATAAACCAGAAATTCAAAGGGGAGCCAAATAAGAATCTGATAAAAGATTCAGTATGAGACTTCAAATTGCATTTGTTATAGCCACAGTTTAATCTAAATTAGGCTAATTACACAGTTTGAAACGGTCTTATGGTATCACTGAAATTCAGATTTAAAAAGAATAGAAAAGGAAAAAAAAAAAAGGAAAAGAAACTCTTGAAATGCCAAAGCTTATTTTGCCATTTGAGTGGATTCTATAAGAAAATTTTTGCCTCATTTAATTTACATACCTGAGTGTTATATATCAAATATGAATATATAAAATATTTAATCTTTAAAGAATAGCTTTAAAAATAATTCAAGCATTTATACACCCAAAAATTATCTATAACAAAATTAATCATTTTGATATCACTTTTCACTTATTTACAGTCATTTTATTAGACTTGTTATCTGTAGAATTGATATAATTAAATGTATAATTAATTAATCTGCATAATTCGTGAATGGTTAAGAATGTTAAGAATGTTATACTACTATAGTTTAATGATCTGTGATTACTTAAAAATTTACTGTATATGGTTAAATGATCATTTTTCCATTCAATTATTGTTTATAGCCATTGTCTATATTCCCACTAAACTAGAATTTTTTAGCTTAAAAAAAGTTTCTAACAAGGGCCGGCATCGTAGCTTAGCAGGTAAAGCTGATTCCACCAGCATCCCAAATGGGCATTGGTTCGAGTCCCAGCTGTTCCACTTCCAATCCAGCTCCCTGCTAATGGCCTGGGAAAAAAGCTGTGGAAGATGGCTCAAGTTCTTGAATCCCTGCACCCACGTGAATGACCTTGAAGAAACTCCTGGCTTCAGCCTGGCCCAGCCTTGGCTGTTGCATCCATTTGGGGAGCGAACCAGCAGATGGAAGATCTTTTTCTGAGTCTGTCTGTCTCCAACCCCTGTAACTCTGCCTTTCAAGTAATAAAATAAATCTTTACAAAAGATATTTCTAACCAGTCTTTATCCTAGTTGTACTTTATTTTGTCTCTTTCCATGCATCACACTTTTCCTTAGAAAAGATTATTTGGAAAACATTTAACAAAAACAGATAAAAGTAATAAGTTTTAGCATCCACAGTACATTGGGATGAATAAAGTTCACAATACTGCATTGTAGCATTATATATTTTATAAAGAAGAGCTGAAATAGTAGAACACAAAGAAAAGGAAATAGAAATGCTAGTAGCCTGATTTGATCAATTTATACTATACACATGTGTTCACATAATGTGCTGTAATTCATAAAAAATGTACAGTATTTTATACTAATCAATTTTTTAAAAAAATCAGGATTAAATCAGATAAGAACTAATAGAATAAAGCATTAAATTGGGAGCAGGCATTTAGCCTGGAATGGTAACAAACTCAGGTCTCACATCACAGTGCCTGGGGTCAATTCCTGGCTCCTGTTCCTGACTGCAGCTTTCAGTCACATCAGACCCTGGGAGAAAGCAGGTGATGGCTCAAGTAGTTTGATTCTGTCACCCATGTAGGAGATCAGGATTGAATTCTCATATCCTAGCTCCAGCACATGCCCAGTTCTAGCTGTTATGAGCTTTTGGAAAGTGAACAAGCACATGGAAGTTCTCTTCTTTGTGTGTGTGTGTATGTTTCAAACAAAAAATAATTTTCAAAATAAAATGTGTTTAGATAATTATTATGTCTATCTTCTAGTAAAAGTTTTTTAAAATATACTAATGTAGGGTCATTGTTGTGGCATTGCAGGTTAAGGCATAGCGATGCCAGCATCCCATGTGGATGCTGGTTCGATTCGCAGCTGCTCCACTTCAGATCCAGTTCTGTGCTAATACACCTGGGAAAGTAGTGGAAGATGGTCCAAGTCCTTGGGCCCCTGCACCCATGTGGAAGATCTAGAAGAAGCTTCTGACCTGGCTTCAGCCTGGCCCAGCCCTGGCCATTGCGGCCATTTGGGTAGTGAACCAGTGGGTGGAAGACCTCTCTCTCTCTCTCTCTCTCTCTCTTCCTCTGCCTCACCTTCTCTGTAACTCTTTCAAGTAAAAAAAAATCTTTAAAAAAAAAAAAGAGGCCTTTAACAAGGATTTCTCACATTGAAATATGTATGTCAAATATGTATGTGTCTGTGTAGGTATACACATGTGCATGTACATACAAATGTGTGTGTATACACATAAGTCATCTCCCCAGGTAAGAGAAATCACTGCAACATAAGATCCCAGTTATTTTTTTTTCATAGATTGCCAACACCAACCATTTCAATAATTACTATCACTCCCTATGGAGTATTACTTACTAATCATGTACCATGTTTTGCTATTAATGCTGTTGGAGCAATACAGTATAGGAGAAGCAACATGAAACTAAAAAGGGAGTAGGCTTACATCTGAGATTTCTTAATCTAAATCAGGGGAAATAACTTAATCTCATGAAGCCTCAGCTTACATATCTAGAAATGAGTAATAAACCCACCCATATGACATACTTGCAGTGAATACTGAAAGATACAATGTACAAGGTACAGGTCTCTCCCTGGTACACAGCAGCAATTTGTCCATAAATGTTTGTTACCTACTATGCATGTTACCTACTATGGTTCCTGATGATTATGGTCCTAAAGATCTATAAGATATTAAAGTACTTCCTAAATAATTAAAGAAGATTAATTATGCATCAAGATCTTTAGGTTCATATCCTTTCAACCAATAATTCTACTTCCAGGAAACCACCCAGAGGAAATAATTAGAGATATAAAATATTCACGTATAAAGATATTATTCAAAATTTCATTTTTAATATCAAAAATTAGACACAATCTAAGTATCCAAGTTTTATACTACATGTGTATGATTGCTACTAAATATTATATAAACTATTAAAATATGCATGAAGATAAAGGGCATCCAAAAATGCTCACAAAAATTAAATTAAAGCAATAGCCTATATACCTACATCTCAAGTATGTTAACAATTATATTCATGTGTATCTATGTATACACACACATAGAAATACAGAAGAAAAGAGTTTAGAGAAAATGCATCAAAATATTAACAATGACCATTTCTGAATGATGACAAAGCAGGTGATTTTTATGGCTTTCATTTTTATATGAATGAATTTTCCAATTCTACTGCACACATGAGTAACTTTGATACTCAGAAAACATAAAATATAAAAGTACACTGCATTACTTAATACAGTATTATTTTATTATTTAAGATAGTCTATATGTCATTTTATGCATTATTATTTAAAACAGTCCAGTTTTTAAAGACGATCTTTTTCATTGTACCTCATCTTCCAAAAAAATTTGGTATAGCTGACAAAAATATATACAAAAAACTAAAACATTATAAATGAAGAAATTAAGATAAAAATAAAGCAAAATGTAGAAACCCACTCATACACAGTAGATGTGTATACTTGTGTCATTTAAGAAACTGAGAACTGAAGGGAGTTTTTCAGCTTTCTCAGGAAGGATAGTATTGCAGTTATGGTAGACATTATTTTACATGTATATTAGGAGTGCTATTTAAATGAATTAAATGAATCACAGTTATGTGAATGGAAAGAAAGGAGGCAGATGCAGCACAGCAGGGAGACTATGACTCACACTGATATAGAATATTCTGTCTGAAGATCTGGAACACAGAAGCTTTCGGCTCCAAACTCAAAAGAAGATAAGGCCTTTGAAAGCCTGGTTGCTGGTATGGTTGGTTGAAGCTATGTATATACATTGAAATGTTACACTATACTCATTAAAAATGTGCAAGTGTTACATGTGAATCTAGATTTTTCTAAATGAATTTTAAAAAATGATCCAGGAATCAAGACCTATAAGAGGGTGACTGATATTGACAATATTCGAGAACCTAAGGAACATATTTTAAAAACACAGAAAGATACAGAGTTAGATATTCCCTTATATTTTGTTACCTTTATGCATATGCCTTCAACATGTAAAAAATCAAGAAAATAAAATGTAGGACATATACTGTATTCAACACAACACTTACCTTCACTGACAGCATGGGGCTTAATAATGCAACAGGTGCAATTGGTAAATTTAGCAGTATTTGCTGGTCCACAACCTCCATTCGAAGGAAAAAACAACTCCATTTCCTAAAGACAGAGAGAAATGACATTGATGTATAAAATCTTTTATCTTGAACATACAGAATACTTCTTCTTTTTTTTTTTTTATTTGACAGATAGAGTTAGTGACAGAGAGAGAGAGTGAGAGAGAGAGAGAGAGAGAGAGAGACAAAGGTCTTCCTTCTGTTGTTTTACCCCCCAAATGGCCGCTACGGCCAGAGCTACGCTGATCCGAAGCCAGGAGCCAGGTGCTTCTTCCTGGTCTCCCACACAGGTGCAGGGTCCAAGCACTTGGGCCATCCTCCACTGCCTTCCCAGGCCACAGCAGAGAGCTGGACTGAAAGAAGAGCAACCGCAACTAGAACTGGGCACCCATATGGCAGGCAGAGAATTAACAAAGTGAGCCACGGCGCCAGCCCCCAGAATACTTCTTTGACACAGAAAGAACTGTGCAGTATTTGTTAGTTTCATGATATAAATTGCTCCAAATTTATTTTACTTTTTAAAAAACATTTATTTATTTCAGAAGCAGAGTTACAGATAGGGAGAGACAGAGAGAGGTCTTCCATTCACTGGTTCACTCTCAAATGGCTGCAATGGCCAAGCTGGGCTGATCCGAAGCCAGGAGCCAGGAGCTTCTTCCTGGTCTCCCACACAGGTGCAGGGGCCCAAGCAATTGAGCCATCTTCTACTGCTTTCCCAGGCCATAGCAGAGAGCTGGATTGGAAGAGGAGCAGCTGGGACTAGAACCGGTACCCATATGGGATGCTGGTGCCTCAGGTGGAGGATTAACCTACTGTGCTGTGGTGCCGGCCCCTGAACCAAACCTTTAAAGAGGAACTAATCTCAATTCTTAAACTACTCAAAATAATCAAAAGGGATGATATCTTCTCAAACTGCTTCTATGAGGTCAGCATCACCTTAATTCCAAAAACACACACACACACAAAAAATACAACAAAGAAAGAGAACTAGAAACCAATATCAGGGCCAATGCCGTGGCACAGTAGGTTAATTCCCTGCCTGCTGTGCCAGCATCCCATATGGGCACCAGTTCTAGTCCAAGCTGCTCCTCTTCCAATCCAGCTCTCTGCTATGGCCTGGGAAAGCAGTAGAAGATGACCCAAGTGCTTGGGCCCCTGTACCCACATGGGAGATGGGGAAGAAACATCTGGCTCCTGGCTTCGGATCGGCATAGCTTCGGCTGCTGCAGACATTGGAGAATGAACCAACAGACGGTAGACCTCTCTCTCTGTCTCTCCTTCTCACTGTCTGTAACTCTACCTCTCAATAAATAAGTAAATAATCTTGAAAAAAAGGTAAAAAAAGAGAAAACAATATAATGGCTGAAAACAGATGCACAAATGCTCAATAAAATATTAGCTAATCAGATCCACAACATCAAAAAGATCATTCACCCAAAGAGGATTTATCCTTGAGATGCAAGGATGGTTTAACATATGCAAATCAATAAATGTGATACATAACATTAACAATTGAAGAATAAAAACCATATGCGATCTAAATTGACGCAGAGAAAGCACTGAATATAATACAACATCCTTTCATGCCAAAAACCTCAAACAAATTGAGTATAGAAGGAACATACACCAACATAATCAAGGTAATATATGACAAACCCACAGACACCATCGTATTGACTGGGGAAAAGCTGGAGGCATTTCCACTAAGATCCAGAACCAGGTAAGGATGCCCACTCTCACTATTACTATTATATGTTTCTGGAGGTTCTTTCCAGAAGTGCTTGGGCCCTGCACCTATATGGGAGACCAGGAGGAAGTACCTGGCTCCTGGCTTCCGATGGGTACAGCGGCCATATGGGGGGTGAACCAACGGAAGGAAGTCCTTTCTCTCTGTGTTTCTTCTCACTGTCTAACTCTGCCTGTCCAAAAAAAAAAAAAAAAAGAAAACATAGAGGTCATAGAGGACACAGTGCAAGAGATTGGCATAGGTAAAGACTTCTTAGATAAAACTCAAAAGCACAAAAATAGAGAAATGGGATTACCTCAAACTAAGAAGCTATTTACAGCAAAAGAAACATTCAACATTCAACAAACTGAAGAGGCAATTGATAGAATGGGAGAAAACATTTGCAATCTATACATCTGATAAAGGATTAATACCCAGAATATATAAGGAACTCAAGAAACTCAACAACAACAAAACAAACAATTCAGTCAAGAAGTGGTCTAAGGATGTGGACAGGCATGTTTCAAAGGATGAAATACAAATGGCCAATAGACACATGAAAAGATGCTCAGGCTCTCTAGACATCAGGGAAATGCAAATAAATACCACCATAAAGTTTCACTTTATCCTAGTTAGAATGGCTAATATCCAGAAGTCAAAAATTACAAATGCTAGAGAGGATTTGGAGAAAAAGCTACCTTAATACATTATTGGCAGAAATAAAACCAGCACTACCATTATAGAAGACAATATGGATATTCCTCAGAAATCTGAAAATAGAACTACCATATGACCAAGCCATCCCACTCCTAGGAATTTATCCAAAGAAAATGAAATCAATATATGAAAGAGTTATCTGTACCCCCATGTTTATTGCAGCTCAATTCACAATAGCTAAAATATGGAATCAATCAAGCTGTCCATCAATTGATGACTGACTGGAAAAAGAAAATGAAGTATATTAAAAATATGGAATCAATCAAGCTGTCCATCAATTGATGACTGACTGGAAAAAGAAAATGAAGTATGTTATATATACACAATAGAATACTACTCATCCTTGAAGAAGAATAAGGGCTATGTAGGGATTCAGGAGAAGATGGTGATCTCCAAAGCAGTTCAAGTTCCACATAATTTTCACTTGTTTGAAGAAACTGAAGATGGACAAAAGGACTAGGTGATGGTATAGTCAGCTGGGGCCTTGAAGATATGACACTGATGGTGGACTGACATGATTATTGGGCCACCAAGGACAAATTACAAGAACAGAATACATAGCCTAAAAGTAGAATGTGGACTTAAATACCCAGAATCTTCTCCATTTGTTAGATTTGTAATAAAAATTAATATGAATGGGATAAATAATTCCAGTGGTATGGTGGATGCACAGAACATACCAATATTTGTAAAATGGCAAAATTAATATAGTGGTTTTTTTTTTAATTTATTTGACAGGTAGAGTTACAGACAGTGAGAGAGAGAGACAGAGAGAAAGGTCTTCCTTCCGTTGGTTCACTCCCCAAATGGCCGCTGTAGCCAGCACTGCGCTGATCCGAAGCCAGGAGCCAGGCATTTCTTCCTGGTCTCTCATGAGGGTGCAGAGACCCAAGCACTTGGGTCATCCTCCACTGCCCTCCTAGGCTACAGCAGAGAGCTGGACTTTAAGAGGAGCAACCGGGACTAGAACTGGGCGTCCATAAGTGATGCCGGCACCGCAGGCGGAGGACTAACCAAGTGAGCCACGGTGCCGGCCCCAAAATTAATATAGTATTAAAGTTGTACTAGAGGAGCTAAGGCATCTAATAGTGTCCAAAGACAATATGAAGCTTCCACAGTCCACAGAAGGACAAACATAACAATAAATTTTAGTGGGTCTCAAACTTGTCTTAAATAAACAACCTTCTACTCATATTAATGTCTTGACTACACATCACAATGCAAAATACCCACACATCCAGTAAAGAATTCCAGCTGATACATGTAATCTAGACATCCCTAAGAATATATTTAACATTGTGCACTCATTATGTTTTCAGGTAATGGGAGGAAAAAATGCAGCACAATTTTTCTTTCTATTGTTGAGGCACTGCCATTTAAATGTAAATTTGGAGTGCTTCAAACAGGATTCGGGTTTACAAGACACAGGCATGGTGAGAAGTGTCAGAAGGAAGTGGAAAGTTGTGTGTTTCTGAAAAGTAAAAATCCCAAGAAGGACAAACAGAAGTGGCATGCTTTATCCACCTTACTTACTAAGAGTTGCAACTAAAATTGTTTAAAGTAGCAGGTACAATGAAACTGTCAAAAATTGTGTTAAAATTTGAAGCGGTATGGGTGCTGACCACTAGTAGTATAAAAAATATGTTCAGGATTTTTTTGATGCTTATATTTATAATTAAAAAAATGTCGGGGGATCAATGAATTTCTATTAAAAGCTGTCCCTGTGTGTTACATGTAATAGATATGGTGAATATTTGTTTACAGTTTTTGTTTAACAAGCCATGCAATTCAGTTTAAGTGAAGTCAATAAAAAAGGAAATAGGTGTATTTATATGTTATTTTAAGATTATAAATTAAGTAAGAATTAAAATATAAAAAAATGTGGAGTGTGTGTGTGTGTGTGTGTGTGTGTTGAGGTGGGGAATGAAATCCTCTTTTGCAACAAAATGGATGTAATTGGACACCATTATGTTTAGTGAAATAAGGCAGTCTCAGAAAGACAAATACCATATATTTTATCTGATTTGTTATCATTAATATAGAGTACAAAAATGCAATGTATATGAGTGAAATTAACATATTGAGATTCCATTATTATTTATAGCACTTGTCTACACACCTGAGACTACACACTCTTATCTACTTACAACTTGTTGAATTCTTTATTTAGTGGAAGGTTAAACTTACGATTATAAAGTGAGTTGAAAGTATATCACCACAAAAATTAAAAGGAAAATCAAAAAAGAAATAGAAGAGAGGGTGATAGGGAGGGAGAATGGGAAATATTGTTATGTTCTTAAAACTGTATATATGAAATACATGAAATTTGTTCTCTTTATATAAATAATAACAATAATAATAATAAATCGGATCAGTGCGGTGCACCGGCCGCGGCAGCCATTGGAGGGTGAACCAACGGCAAAGGAAGACCTTTGTCTCTGTCTCTCTCTCTCTCACTGTCCACTATGCCTGTCAAAAAAAAAAAAAAAAAGAAAAGAAAAAAAAAGAAAGAAATCTAAGTGCATAAAATAGGAAAATTATGTTCAAGGCAATTTTTTAAAGTTTTTTTAAATTTTATTATTTTTATTTGAGAGAGAGTAGGCAAGTTTCTATCTTCTGGTTCACTCCAAACTCTCTGCAATGGCTGGGGATGGACTGGTGAGAAACCCAGGAGCCAGGAACACAGTCCACATATGCCATATGGGTGGCAAAAATTCAAATATTTTATTTTATTTTTTTAAGATTTATTTATTTATTTGAAAGGTAAAGTTACAATGGGGGGTAAGCCATTGTAATCCATAAGCCGTACTTTGGAAATTTATATTCATTAAATAAAAGTTAAAAAAAAAAACCTTTAAAAGATACGAATTAATATGTAGTTAGTAATGTAAAAAAAAAATAAAAAGATTACATTGGCATAGGTAAAAAAAAAAAAAGAAAGAAAGGTAAAGTTACAGAGAGGCAGAGGCAGAGAAAGGTCTTCCATCCACTGCTGGTTCACGCCCCACATGGATGCAACAGCCAGAGCTGGGCTGATCCGAAGCCAGATACCTGGAGCTTCTTCTGGGTATCCCACACGGGTGCAGGAGCCCTAAGACTTGGACCATATTCCACTACTTTCCCAGGCACATTAGCAGGAAGCTGGATCAGCAGTGGAGCAGCCAGGACTCAAACCAGCGCCCATATGAGATGCCAGCACTACAGGTGGCAGCTTTATCACTATGCCACAGTGCTGGCACCCCAAATATTTCAGCCATCACTGCTTCTTCTCAAGATCTACATTAGTAGGAAAATAGAGCCAGGAGTCAAGAGCTGAGAATTTAATCCAGGCAGTCCAATGTTGGATATCATAATCACTATGCTAAACAACTACTCTGCAATATTGTTTATAGTCCTTACAGATTTTTCTGCTGAACTATGATCTTTTTACTTTTTATTTGTTCAATTCTTTATTTAGTGGAGAATTAAGCCTTTGACTATAATGTACATTTAAAATGTTATCTCAAAAACAATAAATACAATATTAAGTAAAAAAAAAAAAAAAGACTTCTTGCACTGGTGCTGTGGCGCCTGCATCCCATATGGGCACTTGTTCAAGACCTGGCTGCTCCACTTCTGAATTAGCTCCTTGTTAATGTGCCTGAGAAAGCAGTGGAAGATGGCTCAATTGGTTGGGCCCCTGCACCCACATTTCGGACTCAGAAGAAGCTCCTGGCTCCTGTCTTTGACCTGGTACAACACTTGCCATTATAGCCATCTGGGAAGTGAGCCAGCAGATGAAAGATCTCTCTCTCTCTCTCTCTCTCATTCTCTCTCTCTCTCTCCCCCCACTCTGTAATTCTGCCATTAAAATAAATATTTTTTTAAATAATAGGAGAAAGAATAACAGTAGCTAACTTTGTAAAAGTTGTTCTACGACAAAAACAAATTTTAAAAAATCATCTGTAAACTCTATGTGCATATACAAATATGCAACTTTAGTACCTTCATTATATATATATATATACTTGCAATAAAAACATAAGCACACACATATAATAAGGTTATAACTTTATCACTTAAAAGTATAAACTACTTTATATTTTTTAATCTGCTTATTTTCAGCATTAACAACATTATTTATATAAATGTACAATCTATAATCACTATCCAACAAAGATACAGTTTGGCTGGACTCAGAGTCAAAACTCATAGTATTTCCTAATAGGATGAAGACTATCTGAAAGACATTCTGAGAAAAATACCATAGTGATATGCTGACATATCATATATCATATTTTCCCATTTCTTTCTACTTTTATTTATATTATGTCAAAGCTCTTAAGGAGATCTTTAGGAAAATATTCTTTACTAATGAGAAATAGCCTGGGTGCTTAATGACCAATGTTAGAAGAATTCATTCATCCAGTAAATATTTATTAAGCATTGACATGTGCAGAAAGGTTATAATGATCAAAACAAAACAAAGATCCATGCCTACATTGGACTCACTAGTGGAATCATCTAGTATATTTACACAGAGAGAGCCCAAGTAACCTGAAATACCACAAGCAAATGAGGGTACTTCAAAAGTCTTGTGGAAGATAAAATTAAAAGTTTTTCTTGTGCAAAAAAGTTTTTAAATCCATGCATACAAAGGATCTTCAAAAAGCTCATGGCAAACACATATTTTGAAAAAACTATGCATAAATTTTAAATCGTTTTCTCCAAAATAAACTTAGCTTTTAATTCCATTTTTCCATACACTGAGGTACTTTTGTATTTTTTCCAGTTTGTTAAATAAACCAGTGGAAACAAACAACAAAGACATGGATTGGGGTAAGGTAGTAATGGAGGAAATGTAAGGAGAAAAACAAAGCATGTGGTCAGTGACTTCCATACCAGTGTCAATTATTGCCTTAATGATTTATGTCTATCACATTTTTAAAATAAATTAACATATCTGGTTGGTGATTTAACTGTATCTCAGCTTTTTTCTTCTACTTCACTGATGACTCCTTCTCAACTTCGTTTGCTACTTTCTCCTCTTAAATATTTGACCTGCATACAAGGCTCTATCTTTGTTCATCTTTCCTTCTCTATCTACAACCACCCCCCCTTAGTAATCCAATCAATCTTGTGGCTTTAAATACTATCTATGTGTTAATAAGCCCCATATTTATGCCTGTAGCCCAGAATTCTCCCCCGAACTCCAAACTTACATCCTCATTTCTTTGGCTCAACATCTCTACTTGGATGACTAACATGTATATTAACTTTGCAAATACACAGGCTGCAACTCTTGGCTTTATTCCCATACTGATTCTATCCACACATCCTACTGATTGCCAATTTCTGCTCCCATAAACTCTATCTGTTCAGTTGCTCAGGCTAAAAAACTTGGGAATAATTTTTGCTGTTTATCTTTTTCTCATAGGCTGAATTCAAACTGACAGGAAATCTCGTTCACCCTTCAACTATTAAAATACTTTAAAATACATTTATATACTTTTCTCATTGCTACCACCCCAGCCTCAGCCATCATCTCTCTGAATTATTGCAACAGACTCTTGATTAGGCTACCTATTTCTATTCTTGCCCTCTCCAGCCATTCTCAATGCAACACTCAGACTAATCCTTTTAAATGCCAAGTAAAACATGTCAGCCCCCTTCTCAGAACCCTGAAACGACTATTTCTCTCAGACAAAAGCCGAAAGTACTACAATCGTCTTTAAGACCAGACGACCTCTCCCTTGATTATTTCTATGATCTCATCACTCTTGCCCCACCGACCCTCATTCCAATTGACCAACATTGCCGCATTCACTGTTTGTGGAACATCCCACAAAGAAATATTCAAGGAATAGTATGATAGTGTTCCCAGAACATGGAGATTAAGGTAGAGACTGGTCAAAGATAAAAATACAAAGACAGAGGCCAGATCAGTTAGAGCATTAGAGGCTACAATAAAGGCTTTAGATTTTATTCCAAGAGACAGAAATTGAAGAGTTTTCAACAGGTGAATGTTAATCTGATTTATTTTAAGAAAACCTGGGGGCCGGCACTGTGGCTCACTTGGTTAATCCTCCACCTGCGGCGCTGGCATCCCATATGTGTGCCCGGGTTCTAGTTTTGGTTGCTCCTGTTCCAGTCCAGCTCTCTGCTGTGGCCTGGGAGGGTAGTAGAGGATGGCCCAAGTGCTTGGGCCCCTGCACCGTGCAGGAGACCAGGAAGAAGCACCTGGCTCCTGGCTTCGGATTGGCGCAGTGCCGGCCATGGCGGCCATTTGGGGAGTAAACCAATGGAAGGAAGACCTTTCTCTTTGTCTCTCTCTCTCACTGTCTATAACTCTACCTGTAAAATAAAAAACAAAAAACAAAAAACAAACAAAAAAAGCAACACCTCTTAAAAAAGCCTCTTAAAAAAAAAGAAAACCATTGGGCATACTTAATTTTTCCTGGGCAAGGAACATATTAAAACACTGAGTGTAAGATAAAAGAATAATTAGGAGGTTACTGCTGCAGTTCTAGCAAAACAGAAAAATGAATTTGACCACAATGATCAGATTCAGAGTCTGAAAGTGGAGCTAAAGGACTTGCTGATGAAATTACAAGAAAAAAATACATTATTCTAAAATAGTCTAGCATAATGTTATTGCAAGTATGGCTAGGTTGAATCATCTTAATTAGGCTGAAAAACTTCTCATGATGCTAATAATAAATTTTTACTTCATTAATTTAACCTCAGTATAAAGTCAATGCAACACTTTATATTTAAAAAAAATAACGAATAAATATAGGGAAACTTTTTTAGAAACACTAGCTATATCGTAGGAAAATGAAAAAATCTTATTGAAAACACTGTTAAGTCTGAATCAAAGAAATAATATATCAAATGATTTTTAAAAATATTTACTACCCATAAACTAGCATTCTTACATGAATTCAATAATTCAAAGATCTGTGGCTTTCAATAATTCAAGTCTTTGGAAAAAAGTGTTTAAGTTGGAGAACAATTTTGGCTATGAGCAGGTTACCAGTTCATAAAGGAGACTTAATTGTTTGTTTTAAAATTTTTTTATTTTTTTAAAGATTTTATTTATTTATTTGAGAGGAAGAGTTACAGAAAATGAGAAGGAGAGACAGAGAAAGAGGTCTTCCTTCCATTGGTTCACTCCCCAAATGGCTGCAACAGCCAGAGCTGCGTTGATCTGAAGCCAGGAGCCAGGAGCTTCTTCTGGTCTCCCATACAGGTGCAGGGGCCCAAACACTTGGGCCATCTTTTACTGCTTTCCCAGGCCATAGCAGAGAGCTGGATTGGAAGAGGTGCAGCCAGGACTAGAACTGGCACCCATATGGGATACCGGCACCACAGGTGGAGGATTAATCTACTGTGCCACAGCGCTGGCCCCAAGGGGACTTAATTGTATCATTAAAACCTTGTTTGATCATAAGCAAAAGGTCAAAAGTTCTCTCATTACTAGATCAGCCACATAAATCCACAAGTCACCAATAGTAGAAATGCTTTACATTTGCATAAAACATTTAGCAATACTAAAATAGAACTAAAATATATATTTTTGAGAAAACACCTTACTCTGGCAGCTGAAGTGAAAGAATCAGGGCCATGAGCTGCATTCCTTATGCCATCAGTTCCAAAGAGGGCTCTAATGCTTCCAGAAGCATCTGTACGTGCCACCCCAGAGTTTGCAGGTCCAAGTAGTCTTTTCCATTCACATATGGCATCATCCCTTAAAATCTCCATGGCAATTATAGGACCACTTGAAATAAACTGGATCAGCTCACTATAAATCAGGATAAAAAAGATCAATTTGTTTATTTTTTCTGACAAATTAGGAATCTCTCTTAACAACAACGACATATTTAAATTTGTGATACAGACATGAGCATTTTGATCTCAGAACTATAGACATAGCGAAATTTACGTGGTTAGATTTTCATAAATTGACTGTTACATAGTTTTCAGATTCACTACAAATCACTACAGTAGCAACGTTAAATCAATTACTATTGGCAAAAAAAATCACTATTTTGTTGAATGAAGACTATTTCATCGACTGAAAATGCATATTGCTTATCTGTTTTCCCCATTGCTCTAAAAATAATAGGATTTTCCTTTTTTTTAATTTTATGTGGGTTACCCTTAAAATTGAGTAAACTTTTTTAATATAAGAAGTTATAAATGATATCTTATAAATTTTCAATGAGAATTCCATTAGTTTTGTGTAGAACTATTATCATTCAAAGACTGAAAAAGAACTCTGAATCAATACACATTCAATTGGATTAGTGACTAAGAGGAAAGAAAGACACAGACCTTCAAGAAACATCCATTTATTGGTGTAAAAGCTACTCTGGGTATCCTATCCTAAATTATTAAAGGGTACACACAAGTTCTTGATTGAAAACCCAGCACTGAGTCACAGTCCCTCAAGGCATGAAACATAGTGCTTCATTTTATTTTTCCAGTTTTATATCTGTACTAGGCAGCAAGAAACTTAACCATGAATAAGTGATACCCTTATTTAAGCAAGTGTTAGCAAGAATAAAGTACTTCTTAAAGTAAGGCCAGGTTTCCCTCTCATCCAAAGAGGACAGAAGTCAGCTTCCTCCTGGAGAAAGGATCATGACTGGCCCTTCTGTTCCTTTATGACTGTTCTTGCAAATGTCCTTCTCTGGTATATCATGTTTCAGGAGCTAAATCCCTTCAGTACAAGAAGTATTCCTCCCCAAGGGGCCCGCAGTCATACACATTCTCCTAGGCCTCAGCTGCCTTGGTAAAAACCAGCTGTTAGATTTTAGAAACCCCAACAGAGATCTAATCCATTTTACCCATTCAATAAATATTTACTTTTTAAGATTTATTTATTTGTTTATTTGAAAGGCACAGTGGCAGAGAAAGGGACAGATAGACAGAAAGAGATCTTTCATTTGCTGGTTCACTCCCTAAGTTACCAGACTAGCAGAATGGCCAGAGCCTAGAACAGGCAGCAGTCAGGAGCATGGAAATCCATCTGGATCTCCCATATGGGTTGTGGGGCCCAAGCAGCTGGGCCATCTTCTGCTGCCTTCTGCTCCCAAGTGTCTTTAGCAGGAAACTAGATTGCAAGCAGAGCAGCCATGACCCAAACCAGTGCTCTGATATGAGATGCTGGCATTGCAAATGAAGGCCTAATCAGCAGCACCATAATACTGGCTCCCATTCAATAAACATTTAATGACTACCTACTATGTGTCAGAATCTATGCTAATAAGCCCAAGCATGTAGCATGAAATTCAAGGAATGGGGTGTCTGATTATAAGATACTGCTTCGTGAAATAATTTCCAATAAAGGCAGCTAGTGAAACTAAACAACTACTTAATTAACCCATTTAATATAATATACTGCATATGAAATACTTAAAAGACATTAACTAGAAGTTGTAATTCAATGCTATGAACATTTACTAAGAAAAATTTCCTAGAAAACAGTATATTCCAATAGTACAAGGGTTAATAATATTCTACAATTGTTGATTTTAAGCGATCCTGGGCTGTGGTACAATGGGTTAAGCTGCTGCTGTTGGTGATGCCAGCATCCCATACCAGAGTTCCAGTTCAATTTCTGGATACTTTATTTGAAACACAGCTTTCTGCTAATGCATCAAGGAAGGCAGTGGAAGATGGCCCAAGAACTTGGGCCCCTGCCACTCATGTGGGAGACAAGGGTGGAGACAGCCTGGTCCAGAACTGGCTGCTGTGACCATTTGTGGAGTGAACCAAGCAAATGAGATCTCAATCTCTTTCTCCCTCTCTTTTTCTCTCTCTATTCCTGCCATTCAATTAAATGAATGAATCTTTAAAAAATAAATTATCTATAACATGATAATTTTCTTATATAAAGCTTTACAAAAATACTACTTGTGCAGTATACCAAAAGGTTTGTCTATTGTAGCAGTTTGCTATTACAACATTTCTTTCTTATTAGAAATGTAAATGCTTCCTTGTCAATAGTAATATCAATATGTACAATATCCAGTTAAATTTATATCCAAAATAATTAGAATATATATTCAGTTTCTGACATATTTTACTTGTTATACTTCAGAGAACAAAATATATACAAAATCATTTGGCTGAAATATCAACATTCTATGAACTTTGTTTTAAGCATTTAAGAATATCAAAATAGGGAACTTGAAAAGCACAAGGAAAATTCTCAAAATACAATTATCACTATCTTTGAATTCACTGAAATCTAAAAATAAAGCTATTCCTTATAAAGTAAACAAATTCCCATTTGATACTGGCTGAAATTTAAGATATTTAAGGATGAGATGTAAGAAATCTTATCTAATGAAATAACAGAGAAAAAATTTCTTAGAACATAATTTGTACAGTTACAAATGTTACTATAATCCATCTGACATATAACTCATGCAACAAACCTTTAAATTATAAAAATCTAAGTATATTCTTTTAGCTTTCTAGGACAATTTTCTTTATATACCCCTAAATCCCAAGTTAAACACCTACTTAAAAAAGGGTTTTGATTGGTGGTCTACATGAAAATCCATTGCTTCTTTTCTATAAAATAATAAAAAAGTATTAAGAAAAGTATTAAGAAAAGTATGTAAGAAAATTATTATTTAAATTATATTAATAATACAAGTATTAAATACTATAAATTTATATTTATTTAATCTGTGGATTCATTAATGATTTTCAACAAACATCCTATCAAATATTCCTTCTTTTTAAATGTTTTTTCAAGAAGAGAATGATCCAACATGGGAAGCGGGATACACAGCAGACTCATAGAATGGCAGATGTCCTAAATAGCACTCTGGCCTCAGAATCAGCCCTTAAGGCTTTTGGATCTGGCTGAAAAGCCCATGAGAGTATTTCAGGCATGGAAAGCCAAGACACTGTGGCAAAAAACAAACAAACAAACAAACACACAACAACCACCAACCTAAATGAAAGATCTCTGTGAATGAGATCCCAGCAGAAAGAACGGGTCATCAAAGAAGGTGGTACCTTTCTGGGAAGGGAGGAGAGAACTTCCACTTTGACTATGACCTTGTCTAAATAAGATTGGAGTTGGCCAACTCAAAAGGCTTCCATAGCCTTGGCAACTCATGACAAGAGCCTTGGGTGATTACTGACATCATAAATAAGAGAGTCAATTGTTAAATCAACAACAGGAGTCATGTGCACTTACTCCCCCTGTAGTATCTCCGTCCTTAATGTGTTGTACTATGCGAATTAATGGTAAAACTACTACTCAAACAGTACTTTATACTTTGTGTATCTGTGTGGGTGCAAACTGTTATAATTTTTACTTAATGTATACTAAATTGATCTTCTGTATATAAAGACAATTGAAAATGTATCTTGATATGAATGGGATAGGAAAGGGAGCAGGAGATGGGAGGCTTGCAGGTGGGAGAGAAGTTATGGGGGTTGGGGGAGCCACTGTAATCCAAAAACTGTACTTTGGAAATTTATATTTATTAAATGAAAATAAAAAATAAAAAAATGCTTTTGCAAGTATAAGGCATATCTATGCTTAGATATAAAATTGAAATGAATATATAAGACAGTATATGCTTTTCTACCATATATCATCTTTTTTCCTTAACATTTTAGAAACAAAGTTTATCTTTAGACCTTAAAGATATTTGTTAATTAAAGTCCAAATAAGTTACATCAAAAAATTAAAAAATATCTTCTAATTCAAAATTTGTCACTTTCTTCTACAGGTTTTGAAATTGACAGTTTAATCTAGAATCTTAATTCAGTATTTACAATTTTCTTTCTCAGCTAGATTTATCCAATGGCAAGATTATATTCTTAGAGCTAGTGCTGTGCAGTGCTGACATCCCATGTAGGCTCCCTTTGAGTCCCAGCAGCTCCACTTACAACCCAGCCCTCTGCTATGGCCTGGCAAAGCAGTAAAAGATGGCTCCCAAGATCGTGGGCTCCTGCACTCATGTGGGACACCCAGAGGAGGCTCCTGGCTCCTGGCATCAGATCCGTGCAGCTCTGGCAGTTGCGGCCAACGGGGGAGTGAACCAGCATATTGAAGACCTCTCTTTTTCTGCCTCTCCTTCTCTCTCTATGTAATGCTGACTTTTAAATGAATACATCTTTTTAAAAAAGAATTTTATATTTTTGTGGGTTTTTTCTTTTCTTTTTTTTTTTTTTTTTTTTTTTTTTTTTTTTTTCTGACAGGCAGAGTGGACAGAGAGAGAGACAGAGAGAAAGGTCTTCCTTTGCCGTTGGTTCACCCTCCAATGGCCGCCGCGGCTGGCGCGCTGTGCTGCTCCGAAGCCAGGAGCCAGGTGCTTCTCCTAGTCTCCCATGAGGGTGCAGGGCTCAAGGACTTGTGTTTTTAAAAGCTGCTTGACAAATTATGAAAGCTAATGTATTCTTATTGATTATTAATAAATTAGAAAGGAATATTTTTTACTGACATCACCAAAAGATAGAAGAATATGGAAACATTCTGAATTCAGAATTAATGCCTAATCTGTTAAAAGCAATTGGGATTTACTTTTTATATTTATATTCCCACTAAAATATCTATACAGACAATCAAAGAACAATGGAATTTAAACAGTTATCTGAAAAGTCTAAAAAATTTAAATTTAAGCAAACTAGTTATTTTGTCTTAAACTGTGTAGTTTTCTTAAAGGCTTTAAACTGCACTCACAGTATGTGACAAATATATGAAGAGTACTCAAAAAGTTAACAGAAAATGTATATTATTAAAAAACTAGTTTCTGCATCAAATAAATAATCTGCATGAACTTTTTAAAGTGCCTTCATATATATCAATATCAACTATTTTTTAAAATAGCAAATAAATTCAAATGTTCTCTAGTAATGTGCCAACCTTTCACACTTGAAAATTAATTTGGAATGCATTTTTCAAAAATTTATTAATTTATTTGAAAGTCAGAGTTACAAAGAAAGAGAAGAAGAGGCAGAGAGAGAGAGAGAGATCTTCCATCCGCTGGTTCACTCCCCAGTTGGCTGCAATGGTTGGAGCTGCACCAATCCAAAGCCAAGAACTAGGAGCTTCTTCTGGGTCTCCCATGTGTGCGTCAGGGCCCAAAGACTTGGGCCATCTTCTACTGCTTTCTCAGGCCAAAGCAGAGAGCTGGACCAGAAGAGGAGCAGCCAGGAATCGAATCGGCACCCATATGGGATGCTGGGAGGCAGCTTTACCGCTATGCCACAGCGCTGGCCCCGGAATGAAATGTTTTGAAATGTTTTTAACACTGTATGAGCCTATTGCAAAACAAATTCACAAAACAAGTTGTATCTAGGCATATTCTTATTATAATAGAATAAATTCATATATTTCCTTTGACTACAAAAGGATTATGAAAGGATATATCCAAATCCACAGTACAATTCATCCCTAAACTAGGAAGGAGAAGAAAAATCACATTTTTCTGGAGTCCATTACATACCCAGATTAAATTATATTTATCCTTCACAACAATATATTGAAATATTCATATCATCTTAATTTTACATATGAAAGAATTCAGTTCACTATGGATATATAATCTTTCCATGTCAAAAGGCAAGACAGGGAGATTCAAACTCAAATCTGTCTAATTGCAAATCTGATTGCTTTTGTTCTTTTTACCATCAACCACAGAAAAAAATCTAGAGGTTAAAGAGAAGAATTCAGATATGTATATATTGTACTGCAGACTAAAATGGCACAAAACTGAATACTTAAAGAACTAACATGAAGAATATATTAGAAGAGTTAGAGACGAGTACTAAAATGCCTGAATGTTTCAACACAAAGAACTAAACTACCAAGAAAAAAAATACTTTGTAATCTGAACAAAAATGCTTAAATATTACAAGTTCTCACTGTTTTCTTCTAATATTCCATTAATTCCATAGTTATGTCTATTAAAAAATCTAAAATCAATGGGGCCAGTGCTGTGGCACAGTGGGTAAAGCCCTTGCCGGCAGTGTTGGCATCCCATATAATGGCACCGGTTCAAGTACCAGCTGCTCCACTTCTGATCCAGCTCTCTGCTATGACCTGGGAAAGCAGTGGAAGATGGCCCAAGTCCTTGGGCTCCTACCCCTGTGTGGGAGACTTAGAAGAAGCTCCTGGCTCCTGGCTTCGGATCGGCCCAGCTCCGGCCATTGCAGCCACTTCGATAGTGAACCAGGGGATGGAAGACCTCTCTCTCTCTCTGCCTCTGCATCTCTATAACTCTGCCTTTCAAATAAATAAATCTTTTAAAAAAATCTAAAATCAAAATAACAATGAAAGTTTATGAATTTCTCCCATCATTCTTATCTAATTGTTTCACTAAAAGGTTTAAAAGGACATGAATAGTAACAAGTAAATCACCACACAGAGAAGTTTTTTTTTTATTGTTTTATCATATTTTTATAAAGAAACTTTATTTCACAAACTCATCTATGAAATCTTTTAGGGAACAGTCATGTATCATTGACTGACAGGGGTTATATTCTGAGAATTGAGTCATGAGGTGACTCTTTCATTCTGTAAATGTCATAGAGTACAGATAAACCTAGATAGTAAAAGCCAGTCCCTCAATATGGTTTCTTGATAAAATCAAGAGAAATGGTAAACATAAGATTTTTGGGGGGTTTGTAGTAACTTTATTTTTTTGAGATTCTAAATTTATATTTGCTTTTTTCATTTCAATAGTTGATAGTCCTTTTCACTATTTTGCAGCTAGTGTGTGTTTTCCCTTGTTTGTTTTCTGACATTTTAAATTGGACCTGAGACTAAATTTTTTTCTAACTATGGCTTAGTTTGAGACTCTAATTTTTTTCTAACTACGGTTTAGTTCCTTTTTTAAATTTTTCCCAGAAACGTTTTATTTAAGCAATACAGGCTTCGTGCATTTCATAAGTACAACTTTAGGAACATAGTGATTCTTCCCACCATACCCGCCCTCCCACCAACACTCCCACCCCTCTTCCTCCTCCCTCTCCTATTCCTACCTTATTTTCTAATAAGATCTATTTTCTCGTTTTTTAGATTTATTTTATTTATTTGAAAGACAGAATTACAGTGAGAGGTAGAGACAGAGATAAATGTCTTGTATCCACTAGTTCACTCCCCAGATGGCTGCAACGGCCGGAGCTGCGCCGATCCGAAGCCAGGAGCCAGGAGCTTCTTCCAGGTCCCCCACGTGGGTGCAGGGGCCCAAGGACTGGGAACATATTCTACTGCTATCCCAGGCCATAGCAGAGAGCTGGATCAGAAGAGGAACAGCCGGGACTAGAACTGGTGCCCATATGCGATGCCAGTGCTTCAAGCCAGGGCATTAACCTGTTGTGCCACAGCAGCCCGCCCCTAATAAGATCTATTTTCAATGAACCAACATTAAGATTTATAAATGCTGTAGTGTCACATGACATTTTGTTTGACAAGTAAACTTTTTCTTTATTAGTACAAAAAGCATACTTTAAAATAACAATAAAATATAGTAAATACATAAGCAATAACATATTCATTTGTTATCATTATCCAATTTCATCGAACCTAATTGTATATGCTCTACTTTTGTACAGTTAGCAGCACAGTAGGTTTGTTTATACTAGCATCACCACAAACATGTAACACATTAAGCTATGATCTTAAGACAGCTATGACATCAATAGAAGCCACATTACTGTATTTACTTAGCACTTACTTTGAATCAAGTTCCCAACTTGTCTCCTCACTGGGAATGTCAAGAACATAATGCCCTGAACACTCTTTTTTATTTAAATTTTTTTCTTTTATTGAATAAATATAAATTTCTAAAGTACAACTTTTGGATTACAGTGGTTTGTCCCCCCATAACCTCCCTCTCACACACAAACTATCCTATCTCTTACTCCCTCTCCCATCCCATTCTTCAATTAAGATTCATTTTTAATTATCTTTATATACAGAAGTTCAATTTAGTGTATACTAAGCAAAGATTTCAACAGTTTGCACCCACAGAGACACACAAAGTATAAAGTACTGTTTGAGTAGTAGTTTTACCATTAATTCGCATAGTACAACACATTAAGGACAGAGATCCTATAGGGGAAGTAAGTGCACAGTGACTCCTGTTGTTGATTTAACAATTGACTCTCTTATTTATGACGTCAGTAATCACCCAAGGCTCTTGTCATGAGCTGCCAAGGCTATGGAAGCCTCTTAAGTTCACAAACTCCAACCTTATTTAGACAAGGCTATAATCAAAGTGGAAGTTCTCTCCTCCCTCCAGAGAAAGGTACCTCCTTTTTTGATAGCCTGCTGAACACTCTTTAGCCTAGTCATTTCTCAGGGTTGTGTTTATAAAGAGTGACCTGAGGGATGAGGTCTTCAGTACACTTGCCAGTGAAACTGCTGGTAACCAAGTTCACTCCTCTTTACTCATGCACCCCACTGTGTATACAGCATCTACCAAGGCCTTTGCCTTTCAGTATTTTTTAAACACAATAACATGAATGAAATGATTTTTAAAAGACTTTTATACAACTGAAAATTGTTAAGAAATTACCTTGAAAGCACCATCATTTTGAGTTTGGTTATAGTAAATCCAGATTTGTTTATCAGCTCAATTATTTCTCCAGCCTTTGATACTGCATCTGGTTTGATGAGGGCTAATGTTCTGTAAACAAATAAGGAAAATGTTTAAAAATGAAAATAGTTCTGCAGTTTTTCTTTATAATTTTTAAGTAGTAGAAATTTTATTAACAATCATTCTAGATCACCAAACATCAAAATTAATTTTATGGAGAAATGTATTAAAGATGTTTCTTTAAAAGTCATGCAAAGTAAGTTTTCATTTCCTGTTCCTCTCCCTAAAGTAAAGTAACCAACCTACAGCAACAACAACAAAATGAGCTTAGAGAAAAAAATAAATGTTATTTCTAATAAGTCCAAATTAGAAAATATAGGTATCTAAAATTTCTATTTAGTAAAATACAGTTATTGAAAGGATTACTTTCTAAAAATGCATTAAATATATTATGAATCTGTTTTTTGGTCTCTCTGACTTTAAAATACTTTAAAATATGTATGTATGTTATGCAATTAGTTCAAGACTGAAGTAAAATAATTAAGGATTCCATTAGCTATTCAGAGAAGCTAACGTCTTTTCATCCAAAATGTATATGAATAATGAAGTATGCTAACTTTTAAACTCAAAATACAGCAGAGCAATGGACTTTCCCACCCTGAAGCCACAAAATTAATAGAATTTTAGACATGAAGATCATCACCTCAGTGTCCTCATTAGTCTGATGAGAAATCTACACCCAGGGAGTTAACGTGCCTAAGCTCATATAGCCGCTTAACTGCATCTTCAAGACAAAATATGCAGCTCATAAGATTCCCAAGTCTGTGCTCCTTCCAACATCACAAATAATGATACTATTAATATTATTAGAATGGTTCATCATCACCAATCCTTATAAATAATACCTACAAATGAAGATAAAAACCAGATTGATTGGGGTTGGCATTGAGGCCTAGTGGGTAAAGCCACCACTTGTGGCTCTGGCATTCCATATGAGTGCTAGTTCCTGTCCCAGCTGCTCCACTTCCAAATGAACACTGCTTCTGGCCTGGAAAAGGCAGCAGAAGACAGCCCAAGTGTTTTGGCCCCTGCACCATGTTGGAGACTTGGACAAAGCTCCTGGCCTCAGCCTGGCTTAGCCCTGGCTGCTGAGGCCATCTGCGGAGTGAATCACTGGATGGAAGATTCTCTCTCTCTCCCTCTCCCCCTCCCTCTCTTTGTATAGCTATAACTTTCAAGTAAATAAATGAATCTTAAAAACAAAATTAATCAGTGTAATTCTATCCATATGATAAACCATTTCTGCCACTTTCCCTTTCAATTTCCAATTGTTCTAACAACATTGGCATTAATTCGAGTGATCCAAAAAGAACAGTTAACCTTTTCATACTTGTTTTTTTCACCAATGTGACAAATGTAGCTGGAGATGTAATTCAAATAGCCTTACAACTAGATATAATTTATGGCTCAGTTTTAAAGCTAAATAGCAAAAGAAACTGTTTATCTTTGGTTCAAATTATATCAGATACTCTCTTTTTTTAATTTCAAGGAGATGAGCCACTTACATTACTTTATATTATATGACTTCATCAAAAACACAGTTAAAACTAGTCATTTTTCTAATTCACATTCATTAAATATTATAGTCATGGGTAAACATTTGGCACAATGATCAAGTAAAAGCTTGGGACACCTGCATCATATAGCAGTCATTGGGTTCAAGTCCTAGCTCCAATTCTGACCCAGGTTCCTGCTAATGTGCACGGTGGGAGGCAGCAAAGATAGCTCATATACTTGGATCCCTGCCACCAATGTAGGAGACTAGAATTGAGTTCCAGGCTCCAGGCTTTCGCGTGGTCCAGTCCTGACTGTTATAGACATTTGGGTACTGACCCAGTGTTTGGAAGATCTCGCTTTCTCTATGGGTATGTGTGTATGTGTGTGCCTGCTTGTGTGTGTTTCAAATAGATAAAGTGAATTAAGTAAAAAATTTAAAAATAACTATAATAATCCAAACTACCTTATCAATTGTTTATACTAAATTCTGTAATTTCATGAACCACAGTTTTTAAAGAAAATTTAACACACAGCATAGTCATCAATGTCTGTGAGCAAGAAGCAACATGAAAATTCTAAACCAACAGAACTTAGTTCAAAATCTAATTTCAGTTTCTCTCTTGATGCCTACAGGAGATGCAACAGGTTGAATACATAATTAATCTGTCTTCATTGTATGATTGTTCAGTAGGTAATAATTAAAATATGCTTTTGCAGGGAAAATAAGACAGGCATCAGGAATCTTATGTGTGATTTAAAAGTGAAGATTGCAAACAAAGAACAAAATGGTGACAAAGAATACATTAATAATGCCTCTGTTATCTGTTGCTGTGTAACAAATCATCCTAGTATGTAGTGACTTAAAATAACACACAATTTCTCAAGGTTCTGTAGGTTGGCTGGGTTGTGGTTTCACCTGGGGTCATTCAAACAGCTTCTTTTGACAGTGGGTTAGCTGGATGGCACCCAACTGAGACACCTAGACTTCTCTTGCCTGTGGTCTTTCAGCATCAAGGACTCTAGACCAGGCTTATTAATATAAGGCCACACAGAATGCAGTATATTAGGCATTTATCAAGGATTCTCTGGAGGCATGTCTGCTGATATTACTTGGGCCAATGCAAGTCATATGGTCAAATTCAGAGTCATTGAGGGCAGACGGACATGGATACCAAGAGATGTGATTCATTGGGGGCTACTAGGTGTAATAATCTATCACATAGTAATCCTTGCTACATTTAGATAAGTACCATACTATGCAACAAGCAATGCTCTCAAAACAAAATAAAACAAGGTTAAAAAATCAATAATTTATATTAGAACTCCTTAGCAATTGACAGTGAAAAAACAGTTTGCCCAGCCTTCATAAACTAAGACAGGATATAGATTTCTTAAAAATAACAATTCTCACATAGCTGCTCAAAAACCATGCTCTTCATGTACCATCAGACTCTGAGAAAAATCTGGAGTAATAAGTTTGTGAAATAGATAACTAGTTGATTGCCATAAACACCCTAGATAAATCAGTGTTATTGCTGTGCAATAAATAAAGTTCTTAGGTTGTACAGTGCAATGAACTCTGAATACTGTTGAGCTGAAAGAATAAATATATAAACTTTATACTAAGGTAAATATTTCAAAATGTATTCATATTTGCCTTAAGTATATAAAAACTCATCCTAAACACAAACCCAAAGCTAAATTTGTGGTTTCATTTATGTGTTCTTTGCAAGCATAAAATTTGTATTTCCCATGTATAAAGGAAAACTATTTCATATGAGGCATCCATGGTCTGGAAGAAAAATGCACTGAACTGAGGCTACTGTCTTACAACAATGGAAATTATTCATGGTAATCTTTCCTCTGGAAACTAAAAGATGTAAGATAGTTTTAAAATTCTTTTAAAAAAACTAAGATGAATTGACTATATAGCAAATAATTACTATGAAAAAAGTGAAAAGTATTGTGTGTATGCAGAAAGATCCAGGAAAGTGAGACTAAAATTTGCTTTTCACTTGACAGCAGTACCTATCTGGCAAATTTGAACTTTAATTTTTAATATATCACTAGGAGAGGGGACAGAGTACAACAAATATCCTTCCTAATTCGGGGCCACAGGCTACACCCTTAGAGTGAGCCAGAAAGAACCAGGCCTTGAGTGGTCCAGCTGCACAACTTCACATCATTGGAGCAGTCTCAGAACTTTCATAAAGTAACTTCATACAGTAGCTCAAAGATTCATAAGTCACACTCATATATAAATAGATTGCATAAATACATCACACATATGCAATACATACACACATGGCAATTATCAACAGAGATAATCCCTCTCCCACACATACTCTTGGAGAAAATTAACATAACAGAGAACCTGAACAAACAATGTACAACAGAGAGGATCCACAAATACTTCAGATACTGGAATCATCTTATGCAGATTGTAAAATGACCAGCAAACTATGGCTGAAAGACAAGCTACACAACATCATCAGGCAGCAGGAAACTATAATCTGTAACTAATGAGTAAGTATATTTGAAAGATAATCTATTAGACATTCGTTAGTGATAAAAATGTATATACAAAAATGAAAAGAAATAGGCAAACTTGATAGAACACTAGATGAAACTGAAGAAAGAATTTTGAGAAAATTCAGAATAAGGCACAGATAATAAGAAAGATAGAACACAGAAAACAGGGTAGTTTCAAGAATGTGAACAAAATAAAAATATTTTCAGATGAGTATAAACAGAGAGCTTTCTCTAAATAGACATACTTAAAAGGAAATTCTAAAAAAATGGAATTTAAACAAAAGTAAAAAGATTCCCAACAGAATACCTAAGATAAAACAATAAGAAGCAAAAAGTAAAAAAAAATTAACTTAACTAAAAGTTAGTTGTATAAAACATTAATAGTGAAAAACAGAAAAAAAAAAAGCAGAGCAAAATGGACATAATTATGCCAGATGGAAAATCGAGTTCAACGCTTCTGCTTCTGTGGTTCTTCTTTCTTTTTTTTTTTTTTTTTGACAGGCAGAGTGGATAGTGAGAGAGAGAGACAAAGAGAAAGGTCTTCCTTTTTGCCGTTGGTTCACCCTCCAATGGCTGCAGCGGCCGGCGCGCTACGGCCTGCACACCGCGCTGATCCGAAGCCAGGAGCCAGGTGCTTCTCCTGGTCTCCCATGAGAGTGCAGGGCCCAAGGACTTGGGCCATCCTCCACTGCACTCCTGGGCCATAGCAGAGAGCTGGCCTGGAAGAGGAGCAACCAGGACAGAATCCGGTGCCCCAACTGGGACTAGAACTCGGTATGCCAGCGCCGCAAGGTGGAATATTAGCCTAGTGAGTCCGGCGCCGGCCAGGTTCTTCTATTTTCAAGAAAGAAAATGATGACACTGACTAACTTTAGACTCTGATAAGTACACATCCTGTAGTTCCAAGTGTAAGTACTAAAACTAAATACTATAAACTAAAAAATGCATCGAAAAATTCTCAAACAATCCAAAGTCAGAAATGGACCCAATATAATAAATAA